GTTTTTTTTACTCATTTTGCTGTGCACATGTGGAGCCTGCATGCCAGAAAACTCAGTGTCTTTTAATAAAGATTAAATAAAACTGTGTATACAGGAACTCCTAAATGAGAAAGACTTCTCCTGTCGATTAGTCATGGAAAATGAGAAGTGTGCAAGCTTTCTGTTCGTATCAAGAAACAAAAAAAGCTGTTGTGGGATGCGTGTTTGACTTAAAGTGGCTTACTTCTATGACTGCTGCTCACATCACAATGTCAGTGCTGAAACTGTATTTTGTGCAGCTCTGGTCAAATTTGTCATTAATTGGTTTCTCATGAAATAAAATAGCACACAAAATAATTGGCTGGACTATAAGAACCAACAGAGAAATGATTATAGAGAAAACACTGAGTTAGAACACACTGAAATCCTTCAGGGTAACTTTGCTCACTGCACAGAATAATTAGTGAATCAAGAAGGAACTGTAGATTTTTTTTTGGCTCTTCTTAAAATATCCTTGAGTGTTTCTGGTCCACTGATTTAAATGATGTGATAATATGCTGAGCAGAACCTCAACTCGCCAGTGTTGTATTGATATTCAATAATTGCCATCTGTCTTTAGGACATAGAAGAGGACAGAGCAGAATGCGGCGCTCAGGAGCTCCCAGCCAGCTTTTGGGTAATGCAATGAAAAAGCCAAGATTTGTGCCACCTGGAGCATCAACTTCATGTCTTGCGGCAGAATTCAAGCCTCTGACCCCTAAACTGGGTTTAGGCAATGCACTGGATAAGGTGAGTATCTCTCAACGTTTCACCTTCAGTCTGATCTCTCAATTTTCATCAACCGTGCTCATTATTCAGTGCATTCTCAAACCTCCTCACATGATAAATTTCTCTTTTTTTCTGTCTTTTGTCCTGCAGGTCCACAGAAGTCTTGCAGCTCCAGCTGTGAGTACGACACCATGTACCGTCCAGCCCAAAGCTGCCCAAACTGCTCCAGCCTTGTCCAGGGCTCTGGCTCGTGTTCTCAGTGCAACAGAGAGCAAAGAAAACGAGACAGAACACGAAAACCCTGACTCGGGAGACTGTGCAGAAGACAAGAAAGAAGCAGGTGAGACACAAAGACTACTAGTACTGGGAAATAAAATCTGTAAGATGTTTTTTTTTCTGTTGCACACAGAACAGCACACAGCTTATCTTTTCTCGATTATGAGCTGCTGTTTCCTCTCATGATGACTGCACTTCTTAATTGGCTGGCTCCTAAATCAAAACAAGACTTCTAATTAGTGCTCAATTAAAGGCAGATTGGCTGGAAAGCTCAACCAATTAGGCCAGTATGTTAAAAGGACAGTTTACTGGGTGTTTAATTAGATCTTGGTAATTTAGTCACTAACATTTTGAAATGGTTGGTAATTTTTTTTTTTCTGTTTTATTCAGTTTAAACAGCTATTTCTGTTTTTGATCATGACTTTTGGCTCAGCTAATATTATGATGTTGTTTATTAGCAGCTTCATGTCTGAATGAGCTCTTTTACTCACTTTTCTGTAAAAGTCACAAAAGCAGTCTCACTAGATTTAACTAGATCTGCAGTCACGTGAACAGATATATGCACAAGTGACATACTTCAGGTTGTGTGAAGTGATTTGAGGAGGGATTTTTCCACATTTCTGCATCAATATTGAGACACAGTTCGGGTGTCAAAATCACAAGCTGCTTTTTAAAAAAAAAAAAAAAAAAAAAAAAACTTGCTCTAAATTTCACATTTACTACAAACTGAAATGTCCAGAAAAATACATTTTCATTTGATAAAAACAAGTTTCTGATAGTTCAGATTAACGAGACTCACCAGTAATAACAAACAGGACCTGTTGTTTAGTTTCTTGCTTCCAGCTGTTTGTAGGAGTTTTTCCTCTGACTTCATTAAACACCTGCAGCATCAAACAACAGCAGGATTTCATGAATTATTCATACTTTATAAATTTTCCTTGGAAATGCAGCATCCTGCCTGCATGCCGAGGATCTGACCACAATCACAACAGCCTCAACATCACACACATCTGTATTTGACATGTTGAAGAACAAAGAAAGTTGGGAGGCATTCTTGCGTCTTTGCTTCCTTCTTGTTTATGTTGTGGGGGTAAAATATTGAGGTGGATGTAACCCCGGCATCCACCTCTGAAAAACACATCCATGCCTGCAGCCCAGATTTGATAAAACGGAGTGAAATCACTCCACTTACTCGCTACACGTCGCATGTTTGCAGAGTATTTTTGCACAAAAAGTAGCTTTCAAGAGTGAATGCAATCCAAAGCATAGAGAACTTTTTTGGATGCATTTGCCAGTGTTACACCATATTAGACAACTTCTTCAGCCTTTTTACAATACATTCTTTTAACTTTCTGTGCAGGTGCATGATTTCTTTTTATTTATTTATTTTTTTTTAACAGAGTCAAGCGAACAGTCCTGACTTCATCATACATTAACAATCAGAAAAAATTAATATTGCAAGTCATGTTTTGGCTAATATTGTGCAGCTTTAACATCAGACACATCTGTATTGGACATGCTGAAGAAAAAAGATGTTGGAGGCTTCTCATCTTTGCCTCGTTCTATTTTTTTTAGGGGTGACAAATATTGAAAGTATTTAAGGTGATGAATCTCCTGCATCTTTCTGTCAGGAAACTGTTCACATGTCTGCAGCCTCGCAGCACAGCTCTGATAAAACGGTGTGAACTCGCTGCACGTTTGCACAGATAATCGCTCACAAGAGTGAATACCATCCAAAGCAAACAGTCAACAGAACGGTCCTAACTCTGGTATACAATGTTTTCTTCCAACAATCGAAACAAACACAATATTGCAAAGTCAGTTTTTTCCCCCCAGTATTGCATAGTCTGAACATCACACACATCTGTAGTGGACATGCTGAAGAAAAATGATGTCGGAGGCATTGTTGCATCTTTGTTTCTTCCTCACAAGATTCAGAATATTTAAAAGGAGGCATCTCCTGCTTCTCTCCGGAGACAGCGTGCATGTGTCTGCAGCCCCGCAGCACATGTTCCATGAAACGGTGTGAAGTCGCTTCACATCGCAGGTTTGCCGAGTATTTTTTGCACAGATAATCGCGGACAGGAGCACAGCTCTGTCGGTCTCCTGCTCCGTGTCTAATAATAACGCCGTTAAACCGGCGGACAGAGGCTGAGTGACAGCAGGTCCAGCATTATGCAAATGAGCGGAGCAGCGCGGCGGCAGCAGCGGCCAGATTAGGACTGTGCTCGGGATCAGTGAGCCACCGCCGCTCCCTGCGTCCTCCTGCACGAGCAACTAGTGCCTCCGTTTTCCCGCTCGGGCACACGCGTCGTGCACGTTTGGCACACGCACGGTTCGCTCACGCGCCCCTCCACACATGTTTTAACGAGCTGAACGTGTGTTTGTGGTGCACAGTTGAGATTTTTGTGTCTGGATTCTGCAGACGCCGAGCAGCGCGCACAGGAGCGCTGGTCTACGGGCATGCGCGGCGCGCTCACAAAACCCCTCCCCCACTCAGTTAGTTAAGCCAGCGCTGGTTCACTTTATGCACACTTCTGGGGAAAAGACTCCTGACCCCTAATAACCTGAAATGTGGTGTTTGAACAGTGTTCTGTGCAGAGCCCTGTGCTGTTGTCTCCCAGTGCAGACAGACAGAGTCTGATTGTGCTCTGTGCTGTGCTTGGTTTGGGGTTTAGAGAGACCGAGCTGTAAGTAGGTCGGGCTGGGCTTAAGCGGCTTAGCTACGTCAGCCTAAGCTGGGAGGAATTCATCCAAAGCCCTCCGCGGTAGGCGGGGGCCTAAGCGAGGCTGGCCTAGTTAAGCCTGATTCTTATTGTGTGCAGCACAGCCTGTTTTTGTTGTGCAACGTAGCTGAGAGGGAACCCAGGAGTAGAGTGTGAAGCCATGCACTTGTTAGTCGTAGCCTATGTTTGAATCAGAGAGGGAGCAGAAATGTCTGGGAGTTAGACCAGTGTTAGTGTGGACTGAGAGGGGAGAGCAGAGACAGACAGGTGAGGATCCACAGCGCTGAGCGTGGTCTCTGAACCACAGGCCCGCTTTGGTCTGGAGGGTCCGCTATGCGATAAGATGGCGTCCAGCTCGGTGTTTCTGTCCAGTATGGTGGGCAAGGCTCGCTCCTCCAACTTCACACTCTCGGAGAAGCTGGACCTGTTGAAGCTGGTCCGCCCTCACATCCGCATCCTGGAGGAGCACACCAACAAGCACGCCGTCATCGTGGACAAGAACAAGTGCTGGGACACTGTGGCGGAGCAGTACAACGCCCTGGGAGGGGACCGGCCCCACCGCACTGCCCAGGGCCTCCGGACCCTCTACAAGAGGCTGAAGGAGTCGGCCAAGCAGGAAGTGATGCAGCGGAGACACGCCCAGCCGGAGTACAGAGCCAGCATCTCCGAGCCAACCAGGAGAATCATGGAGATGATCCCTCACCTGTTCCACCACGTGCCCATCCACGAGAAGGACCAGGCGCTGCGCAGGTACAGTGTGACCGACACAGCACAGACACACGCCCTAACACGAAAACACCACAGTCAGGAGAGTTCAGCCAGCAGATACACATCCTCATCTCCAAACAGAGTGTAGAGATGATTCAGCTCTGAGAGGAGGAGGAGCTGCTCTCAGATTCCCAATCAGATTACAGTCTCAATGTGCACCGTCAGGCTCGGCAGGAGAGCGCTGCACGTCCTGCTGCTTTTACTCTTCAGTGGCTTGTTCCGTGGTTCAAGTACGTCCAAAGTACTCCAGCATTCTTTTGATAATGATACGAGTGACTATTTATCACAGATCTGATCCAAAAATTCTGTTTATCTTGAGCTCCCAGCCAAAAAAACAAGTTTGAGGCAGAATATCCCAACACTAGAGTGTAAACTCACGATTATTTACATGCTTAGTTAACTGATTAATTGTTTGATCTTGAAAATGTTTGAAAATGTCCTCATGGTCCAAGATGACAGATGTCTTGTTTTGTCCACAACCCAAAGATGTTCAGTTTTCTGTCACGGAGAAGGAAAGAAGCCAGAACATGTTCATGTATAAGAAGCTGCAATCTGAGAATTTAGACTTTTTCTTCCTTCATCATCAAATTAGTTGACGATTAATTTAATGGTGGATGATTGTTGCAGCTCTGCGTTATCGTCATTATGAGGTTACTGAAAGTTTAACTCCACTCTTAGTTTGTCTGAAAAATTCCACTGACATTCTCATTTGAACTGAACCGTGGTTTCTTTTCCTTTTGAGAGAAAACTCTTAATCACTTAGTTTAGTTACTTAAAAACCTAACTGCTTAATTTGCTCACATCTAAGTTTTACAGATGCCAAGTTAAGTGGACATTTTCTTTCCAAAGAATCAGCAGAACACTTGCTCCTGACACTCTCATATAACATATTCTCATATTCTTCCAGTAATCTTGGATAAAGCAGATCATTAATAGTACTCTAATATTCTTAGTTACTTATTGTTGGCAGATCTACACGGAAAAAACACCACTAAGGTACTTTTTTTTACATCTAAGAAGCTGCAATCAGAGAATTTGACTTTTTTCTCTCTTAAAAAAATACTCCGGTCAAATAATCGATGATCAAAATGGTTGGAGTTAAAGTCATTAGTTTGCAGCTGATTGATTAATTGTTGCAGGTCAGAACTGTTGTTCAGTGTAGAAAGTACGGGTCGTGAGTGTTTCTGCCAAAGCAACGAGAACACCAACAGAAGAAGAGCAGGGAGATCTTGTCACCTGTTAGCCTAAAACCGGCAAGATTTGTTGGCAGATCCTTTAATTTCCTCTCAGTCTGCTCTGATCAGTCACCTAATCCTTTAATTGATTTATTCAACCATTTGAACTCCAAGCAGTTTCTGGGCATTTTTATTGATTTTTTTTGCTCCTGTTGCATTTTTCCTAACTGCAATATGAAGTCCTGCACCTCTACAGAAACCGCAAAACCACGAGTAGATGTAGAGAGACCTCAGAAATGTGTTTTGTGCAGCATGACACAACATAAAAAGAGACATGTTTATTTTCTTTGATTCTGTATTTGACACAAAAAAAAACATTGAATCAAAGTGTGCAACATTTTTAAAAGTGCTGACAAGTGTTAATATTGGAAAAAAGAAAGTTAATCAGTGCACTTTTGCTAATTTTTCTATTTGTGCATGCTCTGTGTGGACACAGCCTGCAGTTCATCCTCTGAATTTTTGTCACATGACTGTTTGTCACAGCTGAGTCAGTCATTGCTTCTTGGTTGTGCAAAGAAACGCATCATTTTTTTGCCTTTTATAGAATCTGGTAAAAGCAAACTGTTTATTTTTGGCAATTTTAAATAATAAAGCATGTAGAATAAAGTGATTTTTATTTGGTATTATGATTTCAGGCTCAGATTTTGTTAATTTTCCTGAACAAAATGAAAGTCAAGCATGATTAGATCAAGATTTATCAGTTTTAGGTGTTTCAGCAGTTTCTAGCTCTGATAAATGGTGTCATTTTGGTGAATGTTTGTACAAAGACAACACACCTTTCAGATGTACCTGCAGGTTTTGGGGTTAATCTACATTATTACCAACAGAGGTCAACACACTCTTCACATAAACAAGATATAGTCAGCCAATAAATGCTGTTTAAGTGCTCCAGGCTCACTCATTTTTATCCCTCTTTTTCCATTTGCAGATTAATATACAGCAAGCACAACTCTCCCATCGAGCATCCTGGCAGCAGCTCCTCTCTGGCCGGACTCCAGGATTACTCAGCAGCTGTCCCAAGTATCCCCCATGAGGTGGTCCAGCTGGACCCTGAAGAGGATGTAAAACCTCCGCCAGACCTCCCCATCCTCCCCTCACACACAGGCCCGGGGCTGGACGGAGGCCCGGAGCGAGAGGGGGAGCAGGACTTGGGCAGCGTCCACGATTACGAAGCCTCGCTGTCTCCGTCCCCTTCCTCCGTCAACATCCCCCTCTCCACGTCGCCGCTGCCCTTACGCCACGACCTCTACCCCAACGACATCTACCCCCACCACGAGCCCGACAGGTTTCGCCCGCTGCACCTGGCCAAGGAGGAGCACGAGCTGGTGCTGGCCAACCACAGGAAGGTGGCGCTGTACCTGGAGGAGAAGAGGGAAGGACTGAAGAGGAAGCAGGAGCTGGAAGAAGAGCTCCTCAGAGCCAAGATTAAAGTGGAGAAACTGAAGGCTGCCCGGCTGAGACACGGCCTGCCAATTCCTCTATAACAAGTACAAACTCGCGCATCGGTGGCGGCTGTTGGAAAGGGAGAGGCTCGGAGGAGTTTAAAGTGTGGCAATCATCGGTTTTGCGTTGTGAGAACTTGAACTTATTTTGGAAACATAGTGCCTCGTACAAGACGCGGGTAGCAGGAGACTCATGTTGCCATCATCATTTCCACAGGCATCGGTAACACTGTGACAGGCCAAAAGGGGTGAAATAACTGTGAACGTTTGGAAGGGAATATTTGTAGTGTTGGCTGACATGTACCTTACTGGAGCTTTTTCCTGTATGATTCTGTCATCGATGTGTAACTACGGAAGTGTTGTCTTTATTATCCAGGATTATCTGGAAATTGGTGTGATTGGGTAAATGTTCTGTTTGTCAAGAGAGCGTCTAAATAATCTGGAATCGGTAAAAAAAAAAAATCCCTAAAATGTAACACCCCAGTTTACTAGCAAGGAACACGTCAGTACCAGGGTTGGAGCGAGAATCAAACTTTCAAAGGCCTTTATCATATGATGATAATACTGTAGAACTGCAGCAATTTATCGCCAACTACTGTGATAATTGATCAGTCGGTCTAAATTCTGTCATTCCAGCCTCTTAAAATGTGAATATTTTCCAGTATTGTTATATTGTTCCTCCTCCGTGACAGTAAACCGACATCCTGTGTTTTGGGAAACACACTGAGAGATTAATCGAAAATAATCGTGAGCTGCAGCCCTGACGTAAAAGCCAACTTCTGTGAATGAATCAACAATGTTCAAGTCCGAAATGCTCCCCTGATGGCCAGCTGAGCGAACAAAAGAAGGGAGAGACGCTGTTGGTTTTTAATCTTATTGCTATTTAATGTAACATTGATTGTATTGTAATGTTGGTCTGTATGTGCTGTCAGTTTCTCTTACAGTTTGTTCACTTATTTCTATTAAAAAATAAAAACGTTCTTATTATACCGGCTGTTTCTTTTCTGGATTTCGTCACTTTTTTCTGATTCTTCTGAATCCCTGTTTTAGAGGATAATGACAAAGGATCATGACCGAATCACCTCATGTTTGCATTCTTGCGTCACTGTTTCGCCCTCATGTAGACATCTTTGTTGTATTTTTTTCAAGCTGGTTCTCGCAGTCGTCTGTGGATGTACATGAAGGCGCGGGGCTGCCTTGGTGCACCAGTGACCTCTGCTGGCGGCTTGTCAGCCTTGTTCCTCGCTGCATGCTGTTGGTTTTCATCCGCTGTAATTCTTGTTTTTTTATGTTACAGAGGTGACTCCCAGGTCTCCTGAAACCCCTCGGCCTCCTGCAGGCTCAGACGGCGGCTGCAGTCAGGATGGAGTGCGGTACCTCAGCGTGGTCTGGTGTAAGGCCAGCAAGAAGAAACACAAGCGCTGGGAGGGCGACGCGGTGCTGATTACTAGAGGACGCAGCGTCACACTTAAGGACATGGAGGGGAAGGATATTGGAAAGGGTGAGGCACACACACTACATGTTTATGTTTATATTTTTCCTTGTCACATTTTATAGGAAAAGCTGTGTAAAGCGGATAAACCTTTGCTTAAACCCCTAAAAGCTGATCTCTTTGCATAAAAGTTGCATATATTTAGATTTTTCTACATGAAAATAACCCCTCTTCGTGCCTTAAAATGGCTAAGATGTAACTGGGAGGTGCAAATCTATTAAATCAGTGCTTCTCTCTCCACTCAGAGCACTGTAGTATGAAGAAAGTTCCACATATTCAGGTTTTCTTTTTTGTTAAATGGCTGGACAAAACCTAAAACCCTGTCAGAGGTAATGGGTGGTAATCAGCTTTCTTTGTTAACAAGGTTTTCTTCTTCAGACCCCGTATTTGCTCTCATGAAAAGGGCTGTTTAGTGCATCGTGTAGCTCTTCTTTGTACAAAATCATCTATCAGGTTGTTATAATGGGGGGAAAAAAATCTTTCTATCTCTGCAAATGAGGCTTTTAGGACGCTGTTTTTCTTGTAAATTAATATATTTCTTGTCCCAATCGTTGCACTCTAAAGGCAGCGCTTCATTTCTAACACGACAGCTGCACTTTAGAGCTGTTAAACTTTAAACTCCATACGTTCAAATATGATGCTCTACAAATGTCTGATTATGACGGACATGTGGAAATCGCTTTGGCCAGATTAAAATGAGTTTCTGTTATTCATTGAATATTCTTTGCAATAAATACCAACAGATGAATAATTTTTGAAGTCTTTATGGGAATTACTGAGGGCAGTTCGGTGCATAAATGTGACACTTGGATTTTGGACGTTAAATTATAATGGCAGAAAGTACTTAAACTGCACTGTCGGGCTGCAACTAATGATTATTTCCATTGTCAACAAATCGCATAGATTATTTCCTAGAATAAACGATTAGTTGTTCGGCCTATAAAATGTCAGAAAATGGTGACACATCTGTTAGCGTTTCTCAAGTAACACGATGACAAATGTCTTGTTTTGCCCAGAAGCAAAAAATATTCAGTCTACTGTTGTAGAAGAGGAAAAAAGACAGAAAATATTCATTAGTACGGAGCTGGAATCAGAGAATTTAGACATTTTTTCTTTAAAAAAAAAAGAAAGAAAAGCTACCTGAGCTGATAAATTAATTATCGAAATAGTTAATTTTCTGTTTATTTAAACTAATTAACTGGTGAAGCTTTGTTTCATACAAAATTAAAGACGTATGTTTAAAATTTTTACTGAATGTTAGACTAACAACATAAATATATTTGACTGGTTTATGTTGCTGTTGAAATGTGTCCTGTGGCTTTAGCAATGTACGTATGGAAACTAATCAAACACTTTTCAACTACACAAAACCTTCAAGCATCATCAAAACTGGCAGAGAGGTGACATATAGAAGGAGACTTATACTAGATCATTCTTCCCAGCTTACATGATGTTGTGGGTGTTACAGGTAGCGGCTACAAGGTGTCACAGCTGGCGTCGCTGTCTGAAGGAGAGACCCTGATGATCGGCGGGAAGGAGGTGGAGGTGATGGGAGTCATTTCTGCAGAGGACTTCGCCAAAGGCCGCTGTTTCCAGGAGGTTCAAACGGAGCAGGTGGAGTCGCACGCAAAGTCTGCTCCACCTCCACCCCGTCGCTTTGCATCCAAACCTTTCTGTCCTCCTACGATGGTGGGCCGAGCGGAGCAGCCAGAGAGGAAGCCAGAGGAGGAACAGACCTGCAGGCCTCGCCATGACCCCCTAGCTCCAGGTGAGTAAATCAGAAGGTATTTTACTGATCAGAACAGGAGAAAGTCTGTCTCCTGGATGCACAGATTCCCATCTGTAGTTCTACGTGTGATATATATAGAGAGTATATAGAGATACTCTGTGGAGTTCCCAATATAAGCTGTATATTGTATTTTCTTATTTTGTTGCTCATAGTTAGGAGAACCTGTCTGCAAACTGCAAAATGGGCTATTATTTAAATGTCACTATTTAATATCTCCTGCTGTGATTTTAATGGCTTAACTGTTGAATTTGGGTGATTGAACATCGATTTTAGTGTCACACTGATTGATTGCGTGTGATAACAACGGCGGTATGGAGAACAAAACAAATGTGGTTAAACTAAACTAGTCCTGCACTTAAAACCTTAGTTAAGTGAAAATATTAAAGTGTTAACAGCAAAATGTACCTAAAATAGGACAAATTAAAGTGCTAATTTTGCAGAATATTGCTCTCTGTTAGTATTTTGCTTTCATGTTACTACTATATTGCCTTTTACTGCTGTAGATGTTTAAGACTGAACTACTTTATACACTGTTGTCTAGTTTAGTTTGCAGCAATGCGTCATATTTAGTTTAAAAGTTGAAGATATTTAGCAAATGTGCTTTAGTTACATCCCACCGCTGACAGTAGTCTTGTGACGAGGGTCTACGCTGCGTTCACGCTCCCCTATGGATGAAAACAAAGAGGTTAAAGTGAATAACGTAACATATAGAAGTAGACCCCTCTCACTTTATAAACCTGTGTTGTTTATTTCCACTAAAACCTGAGTTCAGATTGATTGGATATTTAAACACATCAGCTCAAGGTGGATGGGATTAAATTTTTAATATTTAGCTTCATCCTGTTCTACAGACGCCAGTTACTTGTTCATACGTGCTTTAATTTGATAGAACATTCCTTCTTGTGTCCATAACAGAGCAAAAATAAACCTTTTATTTGATCCTATTTGTGTTATTCCAGGTGCCCTGGTGATGCCTCGCCCCTCGTCCAACCACCAGTGGTCTAACAACAAGTTGGGGCTTCCTGTGGTGGATGTTGTGGTGGATCCACACCTGACCGCTCACCTGCGACCTCACCAGAGGGACGGCCTGCTCTTCCTCTACGAGTGTGTCATGGGCATGAGGTGAGAGTGCTGCTGCTGTAGCATACAGTTAAGCCCGAAATTAAAGGTAAAGATAAATAATCTAAAAGCAATCGCAGCTTTTATCAGGATCATTCTGATGTGTTTCAGAGCTGTGGGTCGGCACGGTGCCATCCTGGCTGATGAAATGGGTCTGGGAAAGACGCTGCAGAGCGTTGCGTTGTCCTGGACGCTGCTGAAGCAGGGCCCTTATGGCGGGAGGCCGGTGGCCAAGCGAGTCCTCGTGGTGACGCCCGGCAGCCTGGTGCAGAACTGGAAGGCAGAGTTTAACAAGTGGCTGGGCCGGGAGAGGATCAGCGTCTTCACCGTGGACCAGGTGAGGAGGACGAGGGAAAGTTGTGGTGTTTAAATTCACAGAGTGAGAAGAGAGATTTTGTAGTAGATCAGAAGTTAGTTTTTCATGCAGTGAAGACAGTTGTATGTACAAAGAATTCCTAGAATATTTGCCTACTGTGCATATAGAAGTACAGCAGGTGGCAAAAACCACGTGGAAGCCAGTGAAGAACCAATAAACTGTCATGGAATCAAAAAAATTAGAAATTTAAAGAAATACTCACATAGAAGTGTTGTTCTGTTCTTGATACGGTACTATCAGCTCACTAGGAGTGTGAAAAGTGTTCTTGTGTCTTTATCTTTTAAAACTTTATAAATGAGACACATTACATTCTAGTTGTTTTGCGTTTTGGTTTAATTTGATGTCTTTTTCCAGTATGATCTTTGGATTTTCTTACTGTAATTTCCGTACTATTGAGCGCACCTGAATATAAGCCACACCCACTAACTTTAAAAAGAAAACAAGTTTTGTACATATACAGGCCGCACTTGTCTATAAGCTGCAGGTGTCCATGTTGGAACATGAGATATTTACACAGAAAGATTTTTTAAACTGTTCGTTAAATACGAACGGTAGCATACACAAATATGTAAATGCTTTTTTACGAACAGTGTTTGTAACACGGCTGGCTAAAAAAATAAAAAACACAGCAGCCTACCAGGAAAAGTCATTGATTGCTATCTTCATCTTCCTCCTGCGCACTAAAACCACTAAAGTCGTCTTCTTCAGTGTCGGAATTGAACAGCCTCAGAATGACTTTGTCACACACTTCCTCAGTCTCTCTTTTGTTGTCGCTCTCAATGGCACTTTCGTCTCGAGGCAACTTCGTAAAAATCCATAAATTAGCCACATCGTTGTTTAAAAGTTCGTGAAAAGAGTAGCGGCTTATAGTCCGGAGTTTACGGTAATTTAATGTGTTTTTGTAAAGCACTTAAAAACTCAAAATGTCATTTAGTCTAATCAAGCATGTATGAAGCCCTTTACTCTCTGAACTAGGAGCAGGTTTTGTCTGTTTTCTTTGCTCCTGTCACATTTTCACTCGCTGTGGGTCCATTTGTTACTGTAATATGTAGCTCTGCAAACTGGTGGCTCCGTTTACATTTTTACAACCTCTACAAACTCCGCGTTTTTCATTCTGCCTTGCACATCAACTTGAGGAAGATGTTTCATCATGCTGAATATATCTTCCAACAACTTTCTCCTCTGTTTATCATTCTTGAGCCACGCTGCATTTGTTTTACTGATCCAGTATCTTTTACTTTCCTGTCTTTCTTGCCATCTCCTCTCTGCTCCGTGTAAACACTGCCTGTAGTTAAATCAAACATGAACAGAATTTTTGTCATGTGACTGTGTTTTGCAGCTCAGTCAGTTATGGCTTCTCGGTTGTGAAGGAGTGTAGAGTTGTTTTTTTCTTTTTCAGAACCTGGTTTATTTATAATGAGTTATTAAAATTAGACATGTGGTAAAAGGGATTTGATCAAATATCCATCTCAAAGAAAAACTCTCACAGTTCTGTTCAGTTTATGTCTCTCAAAACTCTTGCCATGTTTTGTGGTTCAAAGGTTTAATAAATGTTTTTATTGGCTTATGTTTAGGACCACAGGATCGAGCAGTTCGTGTTGTCTCCTCTGCACAGCGTCCTCGTCATCAGCTATGAAATGCTGCTGCGCTGCCTCGAGCAGGTACGTCCACCTTCTGCCAAGTGCGCATTTCACAGATGAATCAACGTATATCATGTTTGTGCTTTTATTCAGTGTTTTCTTTCTGCTTTTAGGTACAGAAGGTAGAGTTTGGTCTTGTCATTTGCGACGAGGGTCACAGGTTAAAGAACAGTAGCATCAAAACGTCTTCAGCGCTCAGCAGCCTCAGCTGTAACCATAGAGTCATATTAACAGGTACGTATCTGACTGAAAGAGGAGTCCCAGGCGTCTTGCGTTGTTTTTCTAACATGTTGTCTCTGTGATTTGAAGGCACGCCGGTACAGAACGACCTGCAGGAGTTCTACGCAATTATAGAGTTTGTTAATCCGGGGATTCTTGGGTCGTCCACTGGTTATAGGAAAGTGTACGAGGAACCGATCCTTCGCTCCAGACAGCCGTCCTGCACAGAGGTGATGCTATATATTCCATCTGGCTTTCTTTTTTGTTCTATCTCAGTTCATCAGGGCCCTTCTGCTTGACAATCTCTGCTTTGCTTCAAACCTTTTTTATCATTAACTCTAGATGTTTAACAATTTGTTGAAATTCAGTGTTCAATTTTTTTTGCACATTGAAACTAAGATACGAAGAAATTGTTAATAAGGGCGTATTTTTCATTTTTGGACCACACTTTAAAGGATGGAGAAACAGCGTGCACTGCTACCTATTATATATTATATATATCTATTATACTTACTGAATTTATTTTGTTTTTGGAAGAGACATTTGAAGGTAAACTCTTCAGCAGTTCCTATAAATGTACCTGTTCTCACACTTCAGCTTGAGACTGGAACACGAAACAAGAGAATCCGTTTCAAACAGGATCATGAGAATAATTTACCACCAAAGCTTAACAAGGTTCACGCAAAGTACATTTAATTGCTGTTAATTATATGGCAAGGCACAAGAGTTCCTCTCAGAAAAAGCCCACTATTCTGACAAGGTCTGCCCTCATAGATGGGTCATGATGGCTTCAGTTTATTAATATTTCAACTCACCCATAATCAGAGACTATTTGATGTATTTTTCCAGTATTGCAGATTCTGAATCAAAGACATGATGAGAAATGATAGTGGAAATTTCAGGCTTTTATCTTTAATAGTTCCTGAAATGTCGATGTTCAAACAGCAAAGTGTGTCGACAGGCAATTTAGCTGAATATTGTATCTCGTAAAGCGGTCGTAGTTGATAAATCAATCTCAAATTTCACAAATATCTTAACAAATTTACCACTAAAGTCGTGCTCATATAAATGCATCAGATTACTATTCAGTGTATGTCAAGGCTTGTAAATCTCCCTCAGACAAATCCTACTGCCTCAACAGGAAGTGAGAGCTCAAAGATGGGACTCGTTCTACTGGCTTTAATATATTTTTTAGAATATTTTCTGAGAAGTTAGAAATTAATTATACTTACCATCCAACCACTGAAACTAATTTATCTGTTTAGGAATGCAAATAAATAACTAGAATTTGACGTCTTAATCAAGAAATCATAAAATTTGAGAAGTCACGGATAACAATAATAACTATATTTTAGCATTAAAGATATAATTTCAGTTAAAGAGCTTCTACAGACTGGTGTCTTAACCATTAAAGAAACATAAATGATTTTTTAAATTACCAGTGCTGTTAATTTAGGGCTTTGTGGCATAAACCGGAAATTGGTGGTGGTCTGATATATTTAAGCACTGTACCTTTAATAAATGGGATGATTCCCCGCTGAGCATCCCTGTACTACATTGTCATGTCTTTCATACTATTTCATGTTGTACTTTGTGCTGAAATGTTACTCTGTCTGTGTACCCTTATGTGGGATTCTGTGTAGTTTGTATTGTCATGTTATGAGATGGAAGTCAAGGGCTGGTCTGTGGAAAAGAATTTCCCCCTGGGGACAATAAAGTCAAAGTCTATGGGAAATGAAAGTGAAAATTCAGGCATTTCTCTTTAATAGCTGCTGAGATGTTGTAATTCAAACAGCCTCAAATTTCAATGTGTTAAAAAAAAAACCCTGCAGCAATTGGGTCCACGTGTAATAAAAAAAAAAGTTTATCTGAAAAATATCAAGTAAAAAAATTGTACAAATATCCATATTTGATTCAATAAAATTTTCAATCAAATCAGAGATGGCTGAGTAGAAATTGTCATAAAAGATGTGATGATTTGAGGTCATATATGCATTAACAGCTGTATTAAATCTCACGTCGGCCAACAGGACGAGAGAGTTTTGGGCGAAGAGCGAGCGTCTGAACTCTCCCGTCTGACCGGCATGTTCATCCTGAGGCGGACGCAGGAGATCATCAACCGATACCTGCCTCCTCGCCTCGACTGGACGCTGTTCTGCGAGCCGTCGCCTCTGCAGCGAGAGCTTTACCTGCAGCTGCTCAGCCACCGGGTGTTCAGAGCCTGCCTTCAGGCCTCCACCCAGACCCACACTCACCTGGCCTGCATCACCGCGCTGAAGAAGCTCTGCAACCACCCCGGCCTGCTGCACTGCACTGTCAAGGTTGTGTTCTCCTTTATAAGCCATCAGAGGAAGAGAAACCTGCATCTTTCTGACTCTGTTGATATGTTGATCGTGCTGACAGCCCCGTATTGTGGTCATTTATTCAACTCAAGCTCTACGATTAAATCATCACGAGTCGGACAGTTGAGCCCAAATGTATTCGTACTCGTGAATACAGTTTCCAACATTTGTAAATTTACTTTTCAAAGAAATGTAGTCTAAAATTTCATGAAATATGTACGAAACTCAAAAGGAATGTGCGTAAAACAGGTTTTTAATTAGTTGAACATTTGTTAATAACTAAGAATTTCTTGCTGGTTTAAGCCACAAATCATTCATCCTGATTTCATTATTTTACTAAAAATGTACCTTAAAATTGTTGTAAAATTTTGAGGAAATGTAGCTTCTATACTGTTTCAAGTGCTCCTGGTAGTTTTTGCCATGTTCTGTTGGGTTCTGATAGAAATGAGAATGGCAAACAACTTATAGCGCACCACAAAATTATTTATATTCCTGCCAAATTTTGAATTTACAAACAGATTTCTTCTGGCTAGAAATGACACAAACAAGTAACAAAAGACTAAAAATGGTGTTAGAGATGTTAATATGAAATTTTTACCTTTTTTACTAAAAACGCCTTGTCCCAAATTATATATACTCTTTGAAATCTTCGCGATTGTTTAAGAAACTGAGACTCTGTTAAGGGAACAGAAGAGCAGGGTGATGGAGAGGAAGCCTTGAACCTCAAAGAGCTGAAGATTGACACAATGAGGAACAAAATCAGACACTAGAACAACTGTTGGACTCATGTGGAGGAAAATAAAGGCTTTGACACTGATTACTGAAAAAGAGGATGAATCATTTTGGACATGGCATTGTAAAGTAAAAAAACAACTTGAAGTAGTTAAAATTCATCATTACCATCTCTAACACAACGTCTTACTGTCTTATGTCCCTTGTTTATGTCATTTCCAGCCAGAAGATACCTGTCGGTCAAATAACAGTTTAATTTACACCACAATCCGACATGAGTGTGAGTAGTTTTGGGCTTAATTGTGACCATGTGTGCTGCATTGCTTGTTTGCAGGAGAGAACTGATCGCGGTTCTCTGGAGAGTTCTTTATACGAGGGCCTGGGAGAGCTCTTCCCAGAATCTTATTCTTCAGGAGGATTCGATGCTGCTGATTCTGGAAAGCTGCTGGTTCTGTCAGACCTGCTGACTGCTATCAGACAACTGAGCCCTTCAGACAGGTGTGTGTGCAGGCAGAAGACCGTCAAGTGTTTGCATGACTGTAAATTTGTCCAAACACCTGCACATTTAACAACACGTGTGTTTCCCCTGCAGGGTCGTGGTGGTGTCGAACTACACTCAGACGCTCGACTTGCTGCAGGACGTGTGCGTACGCTCGGGCTACACCTTCTGCCGACTGGACGGACACACGCCTACGAACCAGAGGCAACGGCTGGTCGACGGTTTCAACAGTCCCTATTCTCAGAACTTCCTCTTTCTGCTGAGCTCTAAAGCAGGCGGCGTCGGACTCAATCTGATCGGCGCTTCCCACCTGGTGCTGTACGACATCGACTGGAACCCCGCCAACGACATTCAGGTACGACACACACGACCACGGTTCAAATTCTGTGACGCTGTTTGCCTTATGCTCTCGTCTAATTTGCCTGAACACGTGCAGTTGAAACCAGAAGTTGACATACACTGTATAAAAAGACATATAACCTTTTTTTTTTTCTCACTATCTGACAATAAATGTGACTAAACTTTTCCTGTAAATTGAGTTACTGCCGTCGAATGGCCCTCATGTACAGTACATGGATATCCACCAGGTGGCACTGTGTATTTGTGTCATTCTCCTCTGCAACTTTTCCTCCTCTGTGGTGTCCAGGCCATGGCCCGAGTGTGGAGAGATGGTCAGAAGAAGACCGTGCACATCTACCGGCTTCTCACTGCAGGTAACAACACATGCAAACACATCATGAGCCACAAATTTAGGCACATCCAGGCTCATTATAAGTTTTATGTTCCTCTCAGGCACCATTGAGGAGCGTATATTTCAGAGACAGGTGTCCAAACAGGGGCTCTCTGGGACTGTGGTTGACCTGGGCAAAGGGTCGGAGCACACGAGTTTCTCCACCAGCGAGCTGCGAGATCTCTTCAGCCTGACGGACACGCCGTCGCTGACCCACGACCTGCTGAACTGTGGCTGCAGCATGGACGGCTCCATCAACGGTAGGCTTGTGAACACGACAGCAGAGGGTTGTGCTACGAGGCCAGATCTTGAGCTTAAAGTCAGAGTTTTCAGTGCCATAAAGGTGGCTCTGTATTTAACCTGACTAGATCACCATGGTAACTGATGCTGCGGAGCTATCCTGATCTGCAGCAGGTTCTGTTTTACATTTAAATAGGCTGTAAGAACCACATTTTTAACCAAGTCTGAAAATTCTTAGCTGAGACATTACGTTATATCTGCAAACCTGTTGAGCTCCACGTTACTAAAACCACTGAACGAAGCCGTGCAGTTACAGTATGGCACGCTGTATGCATCCTGTTGCCATGGCAACCCATCACTGTTTAGCTAGTGATGCAGAAATCTCAGAATTATGTTTTGTTTTTGTTTTTTTCAATGTTTGGTCCTGATTTGCTGCTCAGTCCATTTGCACTGCTGGTACTGCAGCTGATTAGGACACAGATTAGAAAATGTTTTATTTTGTTGATATTTATTACAGAGAATTTTCAATCCGTAACATGCATTTCACTCTGATTCAGCCACAAATTGAAGTGATATCCTGCATTACAGGACAGCGTGACACTTAGATGAACTTCAATACAATATGTTTACATATATATACTGCATTCTTAGTAGTCCTCCGATATAACAAGCTGTTGACTGAAGTAGGTGGCACACGGTTGTTTTGTTTTGTGCAGAAAAAGAGTCACAAGATGTTTCGTGTACCTGATCCTGCTTGTACACACAAAACAAAAGAGACAAAGGGCACACAAAACAAAGAGCCTTCATAGGTATAGACAATATATACAGAACATATGAAGCAGTGTTTACAACCTGGATATGGAGATTTACACTTTTTAAATATAAGGTGGCTACAGAATAGGATTAAATGCCTCTTTTTATGAATTTGAAGCAGAAATCTGCGACTCCTTTATAATTTTACAATACTGGTCTCCATCAATGGTTTCAGGATGTACTGCAAACTCTGTTGAATAGTAACTACGTTTGCTAAGGATGTAGTCTAACCCCCCCCACTGATGATAATGTACCTGTAAAGTTGAAAACCGCCTCCGTGATATTAGTCATTAGTTTTCTCAGTCACACAAAGAAAGCCCGACTCTGTCAAACCTGCATCGTAGTCCAGCTCTCAGTACGTGACCAGACATCCGTCACATACATGTGCTCGCTCTTGTCTTCAGTCGTCGTGGCGGACGAGGAGGAGGCTCCTGATAGGCCGTGCCAGCTCGGTCGTCAGGGCGACCGGGGCCGTGCGACGCAGAAGCACCTCAGCATGTCGGAGCTTACGCAGTGGCGGCATTTCTCAGGCGACACGCACACCTTCTCAGACGCGTACCTCGATCACGCCCGAAGCCACATCACCTTCGCCTTCCAGACCACCGTCTCCCACGCAGCTCAGTAAACAGTAAACACCCGGCTGCTCCACTCGCGCTCATGTATCTTCTCCCACATGTTTGTCTCCGGGGCTCTCTGGGCTTTGTCAGCCCAGATACGACGTGTGACTAAACCCTCGACAACTGCCAACAACAACAACAACAACAGCAGCACAGTTTCCAGCGGTTTTAAATTGCAGTGTTTATGAGATTCTTCATGTTGTCTGTCTGTGTTCTCTTTATTTATTCAAAGCAATTTGCTGCAAAAGTTCATGAAATAAATGAAACCCAAACAGAATGTGCGTAAAACTGATTTTTTCGTTAGCTGAACATTCATTAATGACTCAAATTATTCATACTCGTACAAGACACAATGTGATAAAACATGAGATGCTGATGATTGATTTTTATCTATTTCTATGATATTTTTGAAAAATTTTTACTGAAAGTGTCTTTACTCAATAAGCCCCTGTTTGCAGCCACATCATTGAGCGGGTTCTTATAATTGCTATTAAACTTCCTGCACGTCTCCACTGGGATTTAGTTCCTCTTTGTGTTGATCTCCAGGTTTTTAGAATTTTGGAAGGCTTCCTTACCATCACTCTTCAGTTCCTCCACAGATCTGCATTTTGACAAATTCAAGAGATATGAATAATTTTATACATGGTGCTTTTCATAATTTAAATAATAATAATAATTCTGATTGAAATAATTGTATTGTTTGGAGAAAATGCAGCTTCTATCACATTCCAAATTGTCCTAGTTTACATTAGATTCCTAGTTTTCCACTTTTTTTTGGTAAAAATGAAAAAAGAAACAGTTAAATTCCTTATTTATTGTTGTGTTATTTTCTCTAACTGAATGTCTTTTTATCATTTTCAACAGGTCAAATAAAAATCCACTATAAATCAAAATTTTGCATAAATATGAATAATTTGGGCAGTAGCTGTACGCCTGCCTTTGTCTGCACCATGATCCTTAAAATAGGTTAAAAACTTAAAATATATATTTGTCATCTCTTATGCATTTGGTCAATCCTGTTATTCAATGACTACATTTTGTCATCATCAAGCTCATTTTTTCTGTTTACGATTTAGCTTGAAAACATCTAATTAAACTGAAAACTTTTTTACTGAGAGTTTACTGGAACAGTATTACCAGAGATACAAAAAAAATGGGTTGTTTCATTTCAAATGATCACATTTTTGAAAACAATTTCTGTCCAACCATCTCTGGTTTACCTGGAATTTTTATAGCGTAAAACATGGATATTTATGAAGACGTGCAAAATTTTAGCTTGATATATCAAGTACTGTCTGCAGTAAATTTATTTAAATATTGCCCATTGACCTACTTTTAGCACATTAAAATTCAAGGCTGTTTGATCAACAATATTTAAGGAACTATTAACTGTTGTTTCTCATCATGACATTGATTCAGATTCTGCAATATTTGACAAAAAGATCGAATAAACTCTGATTATGGGTGAGTTGAAAGTTTATTTAACAAAAGGTCAACTAGTGATATTTTCTGAACCATATGTGGCTGCATGTGACAATAGTGAACAAAAATGTAAAGAAAAAAACTAACTTTTGTTTCAATTTTCCAACTGATTGAGTAGCTATGACAAGTCGAACCACAAAAACCAAAATATTCTTCGATAGTTTGATCCAAGTAGAGTTCTGGAGTTCGATGGGTGCCTGAGTGTGACAGATTCACTGGTGTTTGTTTTATATCCACATACTCTAGATAAGGCCTTGTAGGAGAGCGACGTCTGTGCCCTTCTACAACCATATTTACTGTGTCAGCGGAAGAATTTTCATTTTCCTGGGTGATGTATGGAGAGAATGTGCACACGGCCGGCCATTCAGAAGAATGAGTTTACAGCCGTCTCCATCCGGAGCCGAGTCCCCCGGTAGGAGGATGGAGGCAGTCAAAGGGCGAGCGTGTTCAGCCCAAACCGCGGCGCTTTAATGCCACAATTTGTTATGTAACTGCCCGACACTCCAGCGAGTCTGCTGGGTTTTTAGATGTGGGCCATACTGCGGTCTGTTCAGACTATTATTTTAAATAACACTCGTCTGTTCATGCTCTGCAACACAAAGCTGCTGCGTGGGAGTTACAGCATGCAGTTGTGCGTGTTTCCCTGCATGTGTGTGTGTGTGTGTGTGTGTGTGTGCAGCCCAGATCCACATATGATTTGTGTCCGGCTCTGTCAGATTGATGGAGCTCTTCACAAAAACAGTGTAATTATTATTTATATGGGATGATCGTCGCTGTGCCTGATTGTTAAGCAACGTGGTTGTGTAATAAATGGGTCTCTGGGATGTTAAACTTTTCCTTTATGCGTGTGACAGCCGAGTGTTGGAGGCAGACACCTGCTGCTTCTCTGTGGCCGCAGTGGGAATTTAAACATTTAGTGCACTTCCTACGCCGTGACTCAAAGGCTGCAGCCTCGTATGAACCTGACGTGTTCCTCTGCAGGGCCTTTTAGAAGTCTGCAAAGTAAAAACTAGACCAACAGGGCTACAATTATAATATCAGTTCCTTTAGGATGCTGTTAAAAAACTAATATTTCAATTGTCTATAAATGTGTTGATCAATTTCTGGATTAATCGTTCAGCTGTTTGGTCTGAAAGTGTTAAAAAATATTTGTCTTGTTTTCTGCACAACCCAAATATAATCAGTTTACTATCATAGAAGAAGAAAGAAACCAGAAGATATTCACATTTAAGAAGCTGCAATTACAGAATTTTGACTTTTTCCCCTCCAACACATTACTCAAACTGATTAATCAATTATATATTTGGTTATAGATTTAGGAGTTGACGACTAACTGATTAATTGTTGCAGCTCTAATAAATAAATATGTTTCTGAACTTTACTATGACGTGATGATGAAGCTGACATTATTAGTGACGCAAACACAGAGAGAAGAGTTTACATAAGATCCAGCTGGTCTTGGATTAGAGTTAAATCAGTTTTATAATGTTGGTTATTTAATATTTCAATGCTTTATAATAATAACTTACAATAGAATCACAATGAAACCAAGACAGGACTGCAATTAACATTTTTATAGCTCAATCAACCTTTTTAATTGCCCCCTGGGGACAAATACCGTTTTCTAAATTTAATAATGATATTATATTGGACCTTTGGCTGTTGTTTATTAAGCTGTCAAATATTTTCTGGAGTAATTGATTAGCTGTTTGGTGAAAATGGTCAACATTTCAACATGTCTGTCAGTATTTCCCAAAGAAAAGAATGACAAATGTCTTGTTTTGCTCAGAAGATATTCAGTTTACTGTCATAGAGGAGGAAAGAAACCAGAAAATATACACATTTATGGAGCTGGAATCCGAGAATTTAAACATTTATTCTTTAAAAAAGATTTATTAAACTGATAAATCATTTATCAGAATAGTTGATTTATATTCATTTCAACTAATTAACTGGTGTACCTCTGTTTCAGATAAAAGTTAAAGACATTTATTTAAAATGTTTGGCTTCTTTTGGACCTTTTTTAACAGATTTTTGTTGGAGTGTTGAGCATCTTTACATAAAATTACTGTAAGTGCAAATATTTCTTACAGAATCGCCTTCCAGATGTTGAATAACAGTGTTCAGGGATTTTTTTTTNAGTTTAATTTACACCACAATCCGACATGAGTGTGAGTAGTTTTGGGCTTAATTGTGACCATGTGTGCTGCATTGCTTGTTTGCAGGAGAGAACTGATCGCGGTTCTCTGGAGAGTTCTTTATACGAAGGCCTGGTAGGGCTCTTCCCAGAATCTTATTCTTCAGGAGGATTCGATGCTGCTGATTCTGGAAAGCTGCTGGTTCTGTCAGACCTGCTGACTGCTATCAGACAACTGAGCCCTTCAGACAGGTGTGTGTGCAGGCAGAAGACCGTCAAGTGTTTGCATGACTGTAAATTTGTCCAAACACCTGCACATTTAACAACACGTGTGTTTCCCCTGCAGGGTCGTGGTGGTGTCGAACTACACTCAGACGCTCGACTTGCTGCAGGACGTGTGCGTACGCTCGGGCTACACCTTCTGCCGACTGGACGGACACACGCCTACGAACCAGAGGCAACGGCTGGTCGACGGTTTCAACAGTCCCTATTCTCAGAACTTCCTCTTTCTGCTGAGCTCTAAAGCAGGCGGCGTCGGACTCAATCTGATCGGCGCTTCCCACCTGGTGCTGTACGACATCGACTGGAACCCCGCCAACGACATTCAGGTACGACACACACGACCACGGTTCAAATTCTGTGACGCTGTTTGCCTTATGCTCTCGTCTAATTTGCCTGAACACGTGCAGTTGAAACCAGAAGTTGACATACACTGTATAAAAAGACATATAACCTTTTTTTTTTTCTCACTATCTGACAATAAATGTGACTAAACTTTTCCTGTAAATTGAGTTACTGCCGTCGAATGGCCCTCATGTACAGTACATGGATATCCACCAGGTGGCACTGTGTATTTGTGTCATTTTCCTCTACAACTTTTCCTCCTCTGTGGTGTCCAGGCCATGGCCCGAGTGTGGAGAGATGGTCAGAAGAAGACCGTGCACATCTACCGGCTTCTCACTGCAGGTAACAACACATGCAAACACATCATGAGCCACAAATTTAGGCACATCCAGGCTCATTATAAGTTTTATGTTCCTCTCAGGCACCATTGAGGAGCGTATATTTCAGAGACAGGTGTCCAAACAGGGGCTCTCTGGGACTGTGGTTGACCTGGGCAAAGGGTCGGAGCACACGAGTTTCTCCACCAGCGAGCTGCGAGATCTCTTCAGCCTGACGGACACGCCGTCGCTGACCCACGACCTGCTGAACTGTGGCTGCAGCATGGACGGCTCCATCAACGGTAGGCTTGTGAACACGACAGCAGAGGGTTGTGCTACGAGGCCAGATCTTGAGCTTAAAGTCAGAGTTTTCAGTGCCATAAAGGTGGCTCTGTATTTAACCTGACTAGATCACCATGGTAACTGATGCTGCGGAGCTATCCTGATCTGCAGCAGGTTCTGTTTTACATTTAAATAGGCTGTAAGAACCACATTTTTAACCAAGTCTGAAAATTCTTAGCTGAGACATTACGTTATATCTGCAAACCTGTTGAGCTCCACGTTACTAAAACCACTGAACGAAGCCGTGCAGTTACAGTATGGCACGCTGTATGCATCCTGTTGCCATGGCAACCCATCACTGTTTAGCTAGTGATGCAGAAATCTCAGAATTATGTTTTGTTTTTGTTTTTTTCAATGTTTGGTCCTGAT